AAAGGTGACTTTGCTCGACCCTGAGGTGTGTAATTCAATTGTTTATACACACATAGGACGACAAATTTACAAGTATGTAGACTAACTTGGTGCCGAACATGCAGGAATTTATTTCAAGGATTCCGGAAATCAACTTCGAAATCATTAGAGAGGAGATAGCACAATTCATACTAGATGATATCTTGTCACCGAAAGGGATGTTTAGAGTGAAGTCCTAGGTAGCTCGTCTCGTAATGGCAGAACATTCGCAATGCATATGCGACAAACATTTGATTTTTGTAAATATTCTTTGTAATACAATTATATTCTTTAGAGTAAAGTCCTAGGTAGCTCGTCTCTGTATATACTTGCATTTCTAGTTACATATAAAATTGTTCCAATTTATAACTTATTTTTGCAGGTTTTGATGCATGTCGGCGGTTTGGAGAGAAAAATGGATGTGAATGACATATATGTGAATGGGTTGTGGATGTGAATGTATATGTGTTTGATTTTGTGAATTGGCTGTGCTGTGATGGAATATGAATGTGAATTGACTGATGTGATGCTGGGAATGGGTCTATATGAAATGGCTATGATGGAATATGTGAATTGATGCTGGGAATGGGACTATGTATATATATGCTTCTGTCATTTTTGCAGCGGGCATGGCTAGCAAAGGCCTGAGGCTAGCCAAAAAGACAAATTTTATTTTTTTTGGTTCTAAATTCATCCCTGACGGGCATTTAGCTAATGCCCGAAAGAGATAACTCATCCGTGACGGGCTATAGAGTCCTGCCCGTTAGAGATTAGTCATCCCTGACGGGCTTTTAGAATACACCCGATAGAGATAAGTCGTCCGAACCGGGACTAGTTTGACTCAACACGTGGGGTCAAACCTATCGGTGACGGGCTCTGGCTAAATGCCCGATGGAGATGACTACTCATCCGTGACGGGCTTAGTGGTGTGCCCGATTGAGATTAGTTATCCGTGACGGGCTCCTTATTACGCTGGTTTGACTGGTCATACTCATCTGTGACGGGCTTTGTTTTCGGCCCGATTGAGATAACATCCATCCGTGACAGGCTTTTGCCCGATTGAGATTTTTCCTCACATCAGTGACCTTTGCCCAGTGACGGGGGCCTTACCCGATAGTGATGATGCTTTCAGCCCGTCACAGATAAGCGATCCCGTTCTAGTGATCACTCGTCTGTTTGTCTTTGGAACCCCAACTTATCATTTGTATTCAATTCATATTTGCAAAATCGGATTGATTTTATCTTGTTCTTGCTTGTTTTTTTGATTTGCTTGCAGGAATAAGGTTGATTTGCATTTGCAAGATCAGTAATTCACGGAGAGGTGTATCAATTGCTAAGGCGCAATACAATAACGTTTTGTATGGTTGATGTCGGATCGTCAACGTTTCTCTCAAATCGTAGTTAATTATCATCAACTCACCGAAAGAATGGACCAATTAGAACCGTGAGCGTATCAAGTGGAGCTCAGGGTTTATCAGTTTGCAAGACGATGAATTATAGATTTATTATTAGTGACAGGCGTCGCTTTAATTATTTAATAATTGCACAACAAGTGGACAAGGGGAAAAAATGTCTTAGAGCAGGTACAATAGAAGACTATTAGCCAGATATAAACATATTTTAATGAGATAAAAGATGAGAGAGAAGAGCAGCGGGCTATAGATCTATAGCCAACTGCAGCACGGACTCCAAGACATAATGTGTGTATGACAGGTGGGACCATATATTCATAGTATAGTAAACAACTATTATATAAATTGGCTATTAGATCAGCTATAGATGAATTAGAGCTAGTAGTGGGCTATACTGTTAAACTTGCTCTAACAAGCTTCGTTAACTTTTACTGTTTTTACCTTTCCACCTCTCATTAACTGTGGACCTCTCTCTTCCTAGTTCCTCTCTCTTCCTAGTTCGATGGTTCAACTTCCTTTAGCGTATTTAGTGAGTGGCATTATTGTAAAAAAAACCTAAGATTACTGCAATTTTCTTGTAACTTAACCTCTATAAAAAAAAGAATGCTTATTTATATTTATAGACGGATGGAGTATCTAAGAAAAAGCTAAGAAAGTATCAACACATTAATTTGCAGTTGTAGCCTTGTAGCGAGGCACAGAGTTGCTTTTTATATAGGCCAAAGTCAACAAATGAACATCTAGCTTTCTACATAGTAAAAAGTTAGATCTAGTATTGTCGTGGTCCAATTTACCCTCTCTCTCTCTTTCTGAAGTTGGTCTGATTTACCCTCTTAACTAGTAACAGAGATATTTTACACCATCAAATCTTCAAACCAGACAATAATTTTGTTAAATGAGTAGGTTTTATACTGGTTTAGTTATCCTACATACCATCAACCAACTAACATGGTAATAAACAAATCCGGATTTAGTCCTATGTAGTGGTGGCCCAACTGTCAATTGGCTCTCTACGCCCTCCATTTTAATTTGTATGCTCTCATCATTCTTTAACCAGTTGATACCCTACGTTTTACTGCGGGATATGTGAATAAATGCATGTTATACTTTATAAAAATAGTAGATGTATATGTTTAAATAATATAAAAATAATGTAGAGACAATGATTTAACATTGCTTACACATTGAATTCTAAAAAGTAAAAATATAACATTGTAAATGATATGTCATTTTTGCATGATATTTAAAATACTGTAGATAATAATTGCTAGTGTGTGATGATGTAACACACTTGCATGTTGAGCTTTAGGAGTTAGTGAGTATCAACTTTATAGGAAGGTATGATTTGGTGCATGGCTTCGTCAGGCGTTAGTGTCTTTTAACCTTATTTTTAGTTCATCTTCTATGTTCACCCTCCTTCCTTGATATTGGTGACCTGTCTTTCACTCTCCTCTCCCTTAGAAGTAGTGTCCTCCTCTTCGCGCGCTCTCTCTCTCTCTCTCCTTGACACGTAATCCTCCTTAGTTGGTAAGATGGTGTTAGCAAAGGAAGCTATAGCAAGAGGCACAGATGACCAATGAAGGAGGTGAAGGAGGGGGTGTAGCGGAGCAACCATGATAGCAAGGCAACACCAATGAAATTACATGTTTGGAAGACGGGATCATTGGGAGGCAAAGGAGACATAGGCTATGGTTCTAGGCATATCATGGAGATGGCACTTGAGCAGAAGACATGGACAATCTAATTTGGGGAAGAGAAGGGGATGTGTATTGAAGAGTAACAATAGGGATATAGCCATATAGGGAATGAAGGATGGGCCAATTACATTGCCAACTAGGTTGCCACATAGGATATACATCACTTTAGATGACCCACAAACCCATTTATCATCTATATACACACGAGTGATGCCCTTTCCGCCTTGGAAAAAAGTACACCAAAGGTCTCTCAACTTGTCATCGAGTTACAAAATTGTCCCCCAACCACAAAACCGGATCCCTCAACTTACAAAACCGTTCACTTTAGGTCCTTCGGTGGTTTTGACTGCGGTTTTGTATGACGTGGCGGCTGAGTCAGCGTGGGACCCACGTGGGCCTCACATGTCAGTACGCCATGTCATCACCTCTCTCTTTCCCCTCCTCTCCCTTCCTCCTCCTCCTCCCCCCTCTCTCTCTCTTTCTCTCACTCACTCACTCACTTTTTCTCCTCTAGGCAGGCGAGCCGACGGGTGGGGAGGTCGCTGGGGTGAGGCGGGAGAGGAGGTCCGACGACCGGCGATGCGGCGGTGGCGACGTGGGAGAAGGAGAGGGCGGCGGCACCAGTGCCCACCGGTATGAATCCCACCGCCACGCCTGTCACGCCCTGAAGTTTTCCCCTTCTAGCTTTAAATTCGTTTAATAAATTGCTTGAAGAAATTGTTTAATTTAACCTAGAGTTGAATCATAATTAATAATTGGAATCGGTGTGGTAGTATTTTTCTTGAGTTCCCCATGCTCTAATGCATTAACAAGATTTTTAACGGAATTTTCAAAGCCATGGAAATAATTTTAACTAATTAAAAGCAATAAACTGCAATATATAAATCCCAGGAAATTATTTTTCCTTTTTCCTCTTTTCTTTTTCCCCTTTTCCTTTGTTGGGACATCAGCCCAACTCGCCTCCCGCGCCGCCCCCTTGCTAGGCCGGCCCGCCCCCTCCCTCCTCTCTCCGGGTCATCGATAGGTGGGGCCCACCTATTGGCCCCTTCTTCCTCCTTTAGCCGGTCAGCAACCGCCGCCGCCTGCCCCAACCACCGACATTATTTTAGTTATATTGGTGGTCGAAATTTGTCTATAACGACCGTCAACACTCCACACGAACCCGGCGAGCGCCTCGAACATCGTGGGCGCGCGCCCACTGCCACCGCCGTCGACCGCGACGAGCGCCTTGACATGGACGATGGGCTCGGACGTGAACCGGAACGACCTATGCAGGAGCGGCTCCCTCAGTGCATCACCGGTGGCGGCATCGTCGTCGGCTGCCGTGAAGTAGTAGACGGTCTGCACAACGATGGCGATGTTCTGGTCGAGGTTGGAGAGGTAGTAGAGACCACCCTTCGTCTCCGCCGCTAGCACCACCAGGGTTGGTACCCCTCGCTTCACTCCAAGCTCCACGGCGGCGGCTTCTTGCCCCTGCAATCACTGGCCAGCCTGCCCAAGAGGATAAAAGTGAGAGAAAGAGAGGAGGAAGGGAGATGAGGGGAAAGAGGGAGGTGATGACATGGATTACTGATATGTAGGGTTCACGTGGGTTCCACGCTGACTCAGCCGCCACGTCGGATAAAACCGGGATCAAAGCTACCGAATGACCTAAAGTGAACAGTTTTGTAAATTGAGGGATGTCATGTATCCGGTTTTGTGGTTGATGGACGATTTTGTAACTCGATGACAAATTGAGCGACCTGCGGTGTACTTTTTCCTTCCGCCCTGTGTGGAGGCCCAAACATTCAGCCCATTCCCAACCTGGCACTGACATGCGGGCCATTCCAAAGCCTTGCACAGTTTCACCTCTCACCCGCGCCTCCGCTTCCTCCCGCCTCCCCAAACGATGCCGCCTCCGCCTCCGTCTTCCCGTCTCCTCGCCCTCCTCTCCGCGCGCCGCCCGCCGCCCCCGCTCCGCCGCCTCCTCCAGATCCACGCCCACCTCCTCGCCGCCGGCCTCCTTCAAGACTTCTCCTCCCTCCTCGCCGCCGCCTACGCGCTCTCCACCACCGCCACCGCCACGGACGCCCGCACCTCGCCGCCCTCCCCGCTCCGCCACGCGCTCGCGCTCCTCTCCTCGCTCCCGGCCTCCGCCTACAACGCCGCCATCCGAGCACTCTCCCTCTCCGACGACGGCGACCGCCATGGCCACGGCGTCGTCCGCCGCTGCCTCCCGCTCTACCGCGCCCTCCTCCGCTCCGGGACCGCGCGCCCCGACCACCTCACGTTCCCGTTCCTGCTCAAGGCCTGCGCGCGCCTGCGGGAGTGGGGATACGGCGACGCGGCCCTCGCGCACGTCCTCCGCCTCGGCCTCGACTCCGACGTCTTCGTGGTGAACGCGGCCACGCACTTCCTATCGATCCGCGGGCCCATGGAGGACGCACGCAGGCTGTTCGACCGAAGTCCTGTGAGGGACTTGGTGTCGTGGAACACGCTGATCGGAGGGTACGTGCGGCGGGGGAACCCAGCGGAGGCGCTGGAGCTGTTCTGGAGGATGGTGGCAGAGGATGCAGTGGTGAGGCCTGATGAGGTCACGATGATCGCGGCTGTGTCGGGGTGTGGGCAGATGCGTGACCTGGAGCTTGGGAGGCGGCTTCATGGGTTCGTGGATAGTGACGGAGTGAGTTGCACTGTGAGGCTGATGAATGCGCTGATGGATATGTACATCAAGTGTGGCAGTTTAGAGATGGCAAAGTCTGTGTTCGAGAGGATCGAGCACAGGACAGTTGTCTCTTGGACGACGATGATCGTGGGGTTTGCCAAGTTCGGATTGATGGACGATGCACGTAAAGTGTTTGATGAGATGCCTGAAAGGGATGTGTTCCCATGGAATGCACTCATGACCGGTTATGTGCAGTGTAAGCAGTGCAAGGAGGCCCTTTCCTTGTTTCATGAGATGCAGGAAGCAAGTGTGGTGCCTGATGAGATCACAATGGTCAATCTTCTAACTGCTTGTTCGCAGCTCGGAGCATTAGAAATGGGGATGTGGGTTCACCGGTACATTGAGAAACATCGCCTTGTATTTAGTGTTGCGCTTGGCACATCTCTCATTGACATGTACGCTAAGTGTGGAAACATTGAGAAAGCTATCCACATTTTCAAAGAAATTCCCGAGAAAAATGCACTCACATGGACAGCAATGATATGTGGTCTAGCAAATCATGGACATGCCAATGAGGCCATAGAGCACTTCCGGACAATGATAGAGCTTGGACAGAAGCCAGATGAGATTACGTTTATAGGTGTTCTTTCAGCATGCTGTCATGCTGGTTTGGTGAAAGAAGGTCGGGAATTTTTCTCTCTGATGGAGACAAAATATCATCTTGAGAGGAAAATGAAACATTATTCATGTATGATAGACTTACTAGGCAGGGCAGGCCATTTAGACGAAGCAGAGCAGCTAGTAAACACTATGCCTATGGAACCTGATGCAGTAGTTTGGGGTGCTATCTTCTTTGCTTGTAGGATGCAAGGTAATATCTCTCTTGGAGAAAAGGCAGCAATGAAATTGGTAGAAATTGATCCTAGTGATAGTGGAATCTATGTGCTACTGGCTAATATGTATGCAGAAGCGAACATGAGGAAGAAGGCTGACAAAGTCAGGGCTATGATGAGACATTTGGGAGTGGAGAAAGTTCCTGGGTGTAGCTGCATTGAGTTGAATGGTGTGGTTCATGAATTTATCGTGAAGGACAAGTCACATATGGATAGTCATGCTATTTATGACTGCTTGCATGAGATCACCCTACAAATAAAGCATACTGCAGATTTGCTTAGCATTTCTGCGGCTGGTGCGGTGTAGTGTTCTGTTGGCTGGAACAGCTGGCTGAGCTGTGCAAGATGATATGTGCAGTTGTGATGCACAATTCACAGATGCAGGAACTCGATCATGCTGATTTGTGCTGGTTTGCCAGGCCATGTTCTGAGAAGGGTATACTTCATGTTGATTACTATCTGAGGCATTCCCCGAGAATTTTCTGGTCGTTCTTTTGCAGCTTGATGTCAATGGAAACAATATGTTCCACTACATATTGCAAAGTTCTTGTATGCTCTTTACTCAACCCTCACGTGCGGAGCACTTCCTGGGTAAGTGTGGTTCTCATGCTCTGTTTTGCCTCCTCCATTTCTCCTCCGTTGCATTTAAAGTCACATCCCCCTCCTCAGGTTTTCTCCATTAGCTCTCTGTAGTCCTTGCTGTACTCTCCTTGGTATTCCATGCTGTCCTACTACTTGCTTCATCCCCTTCTACATTTTGTTCTGGTTTTTGGCCTGCATTTCGGATCATGATGTATGTGATTTCCAATCTGCTGCAATATGAATGGAGACTCTGTGCTAACCATCAACAACATGAAATGCTTATGAGGCCTTTGCTGAGCAGCCAATCTTGCCTGTGTTTATGTCTTCACAGGCCGAATTCCTCTGTTTTGTTTTTCACCCTCAATATTTGGAAACATTTATCTAGGTTGTTTGTGTCCAGGCCTATAAATCATACATGATGTTGTCGTATTGGATGTGAATGTGGTGGCGTGTTCAGTGCCTTGGATTTGAGTTTGATGAGAGTTGCTTCTGGGTCACCACTCACCATTATCGATGCTCCTCTTCAGCATAAGGTAAAAGTCTTCCCTGTTTACGTTATTTTACCCACTATGGTTGCTTGGGTTGGTTTTTTCCTGATTGCTTATGCCATGGAAAGTCATTTGATATGTTGAACTTGAATTAACTGTAGAATTGTATACATGTTCCATTTGTGTTGTACTTCCTTCTTTTCTATTAGTAGCCTCAGATGAGTGTGAAAAAAACAGATTATATAACTTGCCCTATAAATCATTTGAAAAAAATATTGTACAGTGAGAAATTGATATATAGTGAATTTTTAAGAGCATGTTTTCCTAAAGAAGTATATATTTTCTATGTACAAAGGCCATTGAAGTAATTGTAGATACAGGATAATGTAGACTTTTTGGACTTACACTGCTACCTTTAAGTAACAATCATGAGCAATAGTGTTGCAATGATATTTAGGCTGCATTCGTTTACTCTCTTGATTTCCATGAGCACGCTTCCCAAACTGTTAAACTCTGTGTTTTTTGCCAAAAAAAAATGTATAGGAAAGTTGCTTTTAAAAAATCATATCAATCCATTTTTTAAGTTATAGCTAATACTTAATTAATCATGCGCTAATAAGTCACTCTGTTTTTCGTACTAGAGAGATTGTTTTGAACCAGCACTCAAGAACACAGCCTTAACCCAGCCAAATAATGCTACAACCTACCAGTCCACACCTCTTGTAAAGCATTTGTTGCATGGAAAAGCTAAGATGACAGCAACCTGTTCAGGAAAACAACTGACAAGGTCATAGGGAGAGGGAGCTTTTGGAAAGGTGCCGTGCAGTTCAAACAATTAGTTAGCAGTAGGGTGTTGGTTTTTGCTCACAGCAATAAGAAGTTAATCATGGTGTAGGCAACCCAAATAAAACACCAAAATATGCACAAGGCAGTTTGTTGTATTCTGTAGTACAGACAAAACTAAAAGTAATGAAAGAAGATGTGGTGTTAGAAAAGGAAACAATATCATGAGTAATGTGTGAGCATTATGGGACCACGAAATAAAAAGAACATTTTGATGAGTCGTGTATCCTCGATGAGCCTCAAAAGTTCTCTCACCCCGGATAAGAAACCCTTAAGCAATGTGCAAAGTTTGCATTCTCCACTGACATAATGCAAAATAAGATATCATCGATGACATAGCAACTCATGCATCATATCATGCCTCTCTCAACCTATTCATTCCTACTCATCTACATAAGTATCTTCAGCTAAATGTTAGAACATAAACCCATAAGTCACGTTTGATGAGTATTAGGCGTGACACATGACAAATCACAGACTCAAGCAAGATAAAGCAAAATGATGTGTACATAAAACTCCAGAGCTATATGTCATATTGCAAAAAGAGGAGAGCTTATAAGACAAGGCATGACTCACAAAAATTCATTTGCCTTTCGTGTCAAAAAGAGGAGGGCTTTACATTATCCATGTCATATTGCAAAAGAAAGAGAGAAAGAACAACACAATGCTGCGTCAATTATACATATCTGTATGTCCATCATTATTCATCCACCTTTCGTGTACCACACTTCATATATCATGAGTCACTTCATGTCTGGACATTAACAAACTCTATCTTAACATTTAGATGCAAGAGCCTTTATCTCACTATAAATGCACGATGATTTCTCATTGTTTCTCACAAAAAGCATTCAGTTCATTAGTCCTACAACAACATGGCATCCATAAATCGCCCCATAGTTTTCTTCACAGTTTGCTTGTTCCTCTTGTGCGATGGCTCCCTAGCCCAGCAGCTATTAGGCCAGAGCACTAGTCAATGGCAGAGTTCTCGTCGTGGAAGTCCGAGAGGATGTAGATTTGATAGGTTGCAAGCATTTGAGCCAATTCGGAGTGTGAGGTCTCAAGCTGGCACAACTGAGTTCTTCGATGTCTCTAATGAGTTGTTTCAATGTACCGGAGTATCTGTTGTCCGCCGAGTTATTGAACCTAGAGGCCTACTACTACCCCATTACACTAATGGTGCATCTCTAGTATATATCATCCAAGGTTTGTGTAACAATTTAAGTGCATAATGAATTAATGATTGGCTGCGATATTTACATTGCTTGTAATTAACATGCATGCCATACTTTCAGGGAGAGGTATAACAGGGCCGACTTTCCCAGGCTGTCCTGAGACCTACCAGCAGCAGTTCCAACAATCAGGGCAAGCCCAATTGACCGAAAGTCAAAGCCAAAGCCATAAGTTCAAGGATGAACATCAAAAGATTCACCGTTTCAGACAAGGAGATGTTATCGCGTTGCCTGCTGGTGTAGCTCATTGGTGCTACAATGATGGTGAAGTGCCGGTTGTTGCCATATATGTCACTGATATCAACAACGGTGCTAATCAACTTGACCCTCGACAGAGGGTAATTAAGCAAAACTTATCCAAAACTAAACATTTTACTATTATTTTGACCTTTTTATTCCACTTTTCTTAGACAATGATTTAACCTCGTAATCAATTGTTAGGATTTCTTGTTAGCTGGAAATAAGAGAAACCCTCAAGCATACAGGCGTGAAGTTGAGGAGTGGTCACAAAACATATTTAGTGGCTTTAGCACTGAACTGCTTAGCGAGGCTTTTGGCATAAGCAACCAAGTTGCAAGGCAGCTCCAGTGTCAAAATGACCAAAGAGGAGAAATTGTCCGCGTTGAACGCGGGCTCAGTTTGCTGCAACCATATGCATCATTGCAAGAGCAGGAACAAGGACAAATGCAATCAAGAGAGCATTATCAAGAAGGAGGATATCAGCAAAGTCAATATGGGAGTGGCTGCCCTAACGGTTTGGATGAGACCTTTTGCACCATGAGGGTAAGGCAAAACATCGATAATCCTAACCGTGCTGATACATACAACCCAAGAGCTGGAAGGGTTACAAATCTCAACAGCCAGAATTTCCCCATTCTTAATCTTGTACAGATGAGCGCCGTTAAAGTAAATCTATACCAGGTAAATGAACAGCACATTTTTTTTCTTGGCAAAAGCTTTAATGCACACAATATGCTTAATGATGTGTATCTGTTCTATTGCAGAATGCACTCCTTTCACCGTTCTGGAACATCAACGCTCACAGCATCGTGTATATTACTCAAGGCCGAGCCCAGGTTCAAGTTGTCAACAACAATGGAAAGACGGTGTTCAACGGAGAGCTTCGTCGTGGACAGCTACTTATTGTACCACAACACTATGTAGTTGTAAAGAAGGCACAAAGAGAAGGATGTGCTTACATTGCATTCAAGACAAACCCTAACTCTATGGTAAGCCACATTGCAGGAAAGAGTTCCATCTTCCGTGCTCTCCCAACTGATGTTCTAGCAAATGCATATCGCATCTCAAGAGAAGAGGCTCAGAGGCTCAAGCATAACAGAGGAGATGAGTTCGGTGCATTCACTCCCCTCCAATACAAGAGCTACCAAGACGTTTATAATGTGGCGGAATCCTCTTAAGTTGGCAATGCGGATAAAGAATAACTAAATAAATAAATAAATAAATTGCAAGCAATTGCGTTGCTGCTATGTACTGTAAAAGTTTCTTATAATATCAGTTCTGAATGCTAAGGACATCCCTCAAGATGGTCTTTCTATTTTTGTGTTCCCGTTCCAATGTACTGTTGGTATCCTCTTGGAGATTCATCAATATGAGAAAACAGAGAATGGACAACCCTCCCTTATCTTATGGAAAAAAAAGGTTCTCACCTGCCAGAATTGGATTCTGTTGATATTATTCTACTACATTTTGATAGGAATGAATAAAAGAAGCTTGCTCAAGCAAATGGCATAAAGTTCCTTTGCCGTGGCCCCCCATCTTGAAGAATATGGGCATCTAAGTTTCTTATCATACATTGTCATCAGCTCCACAAATTTTCTTATTCTACTGATAGCAGCTGATATGTATCAGAAACTTTGAGTAATTTATATAATTCTAGACACGATTAAAGTATTTTCTGGATACGAGGAAGGTGCCCTACCAGTCAAGTCTCAGGCTTGCACCAGAGTACTTAGAAGATTAAGGTTCAGAGTTCAGGGCAGTCAACTAAGCAGGGTTACAAAAATCACCAGTGATCAAATTTGTCAGATGGAATAGGTATTCCACGAACTGGGTGTCCCAGCATATGGCTTGTATGTTCTTTACTTCTTTTTTACAGCATATGGCTTGTAAGTGAGCTTCCGAATTCTGGCGTAATTTCACAATATCTATTGAAGTGGGCGAGTAATTCTGAAGATATTGGAGAGAACGGTAGACAAAAAACAACATCAAGTACAGATTTTCAGAACAGTGGCATATGTGCAAGCCTCAATAATTAATCAACAATAAACTAAAATCAATTGAGCATTTGAGTTTTGGAATTACAAGTAATATGTATTATCATTAATCTCAAGTCACTACACTGTACAATTATTATTCAAGGCAAAATAAAGAAAACAAACGCTCCTTTTGTTAAGCCCGGTTTTAACATCTAGTAGTTGAAGGGAAATAGTGTTAGATTTTCTATATGCTTGTGGCTTCCAATTGTGCGGCGACTTGAGTCCTCAATTTTCTTTCAGCTTGGCTGCCTGCAAATTTTTCTCTCAAGCCCTTCACCGCTTCGTTTTCCTGCACATAGTGGGAGGCATGAAGCAAAGGAAGGTTAGTAAAACAGATAAAGATGGTCCCCAAATATGCATATAAGCTCACCAATCCCTTGAACAAAGGTGCAGGTTTCCCTATCCTGTGGCCTGATGGTATGAGATCCCAAGGTCTTTTGGCCTTCTCAACCTCTCCTTTTTCATCACAAAATGATAGGTGCTCTTCTGGACTTAGATTTAGCTGCTGCAGAACCTGCGTGAGAGAACAACGAACATATTAGATTCTCATTAAAGATATGTGCAAATATGCGAGTAACTTGTACGGCGAAGCAAGAGACATACATCTTTTGAGAATGTTGGCATGAAAGGCTCCAGCAAACATGCCAGGAGGTACACAATTCCAACTGAGGTTTTCATCACAGTTGCGCAACTGGCTGGATCTTGTTTGTAAAGCTTCCAAAACTGACTCTCCTGCATATTAATGGAAAATTTTAGACAGTTCCACTCGAAAGTATATTTAGTGTACAATTAGGAGCATAAGGGAAGAAAAGAAGAATAAAGACTTACTTGTAGGTATGCATTTCCTTCGCTAGAAATGGCCATTGCAATCTTCAGCCCTTGTTTTATTTTGACCTGTTAATGGAAATGGTTGTTAGCACGATTCTTCAGATCCGTAGAGGCAATTCAAATTCAGATTTATTGAGTAGTACAGTTAATACAACTTAAAATCAATGCATTACCTTGTCCATTGCATCGATGTACTGATCAATCAATTTACCAACAGTCTCAGCCAATGACTGAGTCAGAGCATGGGAATCCACATCAGGAGAATCAGGTACAACAGAACCATATCCAGTTCCTGCAACAGCAGTTGAACTATCTTAACTTCTTATTTCTTAACATCTTGTTAGACAGATCATGCAGGAGCTAATCAGAATAAAATGGACAAGTGAATGCGGATGCTACTAGAGAAATCTTAAGGAAACAGAGCACTAAAACAGAGGTATCATGTTCAGAACTAAGATTTTCCTCGTTTTACTAACCCTCTGGTTTCGCGATAAAGCTTAGTACTCGATTGATGAAGTTCCCTAAATTGTTCAGCAGCTCGTTGTTACACTTGGCTTGCAAATCTGTCCAAGTGAACAATGTATCTGATGCCTGGAATTAACAGAAAACAGTTCAAAACAAATTTCTTATTGTAGTTATGTAGATGCCTACATAAAGGCATAACCGAAATATTATGATTTTTTTTTTCTGAAAAACTAGCCTCGGGACGATTGGTAAGCAAGTAGTATCGCCACACTTCAGGAGGAATATTTGTGGATTTTGCATCATTCCCAAACACTCCAATGCCCTTTGTTTTGGAGAACTTTCCTGTTCATGAAAAAAAACATAATTTAGTACTCAAATTCCTGTTCATGAAAAAAAAGAATCCTAACATAAAGAAGACGTCCACATAGGCTCACTGAAAATACATACGTAGTAATTTAGTATTCAAGGCACCCAATCTGAAAAGGTAAGAAACAACCTATTTGGAATGTAAACCACAAAAACAGTCGTCTTACCTGATTCATAATTGAGATACTCTGTCACACTAATCGTCTTCATCAGAGTCCAATTTTCTCCAGTTCCAAGTAGTGTGGAGGGGAACATGACCTAAATATTTTGTTACATGCATGAAATATGATCTCCATGAAAAGAGAAGGCCTGATGAAGCCCGTGTATTTGGACATACAGAATCTAATAAAAACTGAATGACACTTTGGAAGCTCAAGTTGCCAAAAGAATATGTACTCTTACCGTATGGAATGGGACATTGTCTTTACCCATGAACTGATACAATTCAACATTTTCTGGATTCTTCCACCATTTCTCCCACTCAGGCGTGTAGCACGCCGTAATGGAGATGTACCCGATTGGTGCATCAAACCAGACATAGAACACCTGAAACCAATTCACAAGTATCACTGACACGATCTTGAACAATATACAGTTTAGAATTTTTCGTATTCACCAACACAAACAAATGATGACAAACCTTGTCTTTGTACTTCTCATGTGGGACAGGCACACCCCATTTCAGATCCCTGGTAATGCAGCGAGGCTTCAACCCTTCCTTCAACCAAGCATTTGTTGCATGAATAGCGTTTTGGCTCCATGATCCAGTCAAAGAAGTCTCGTCGATATACTTCTCAAGTTTCTCCCTCAGCAGAGGGAGCTCCAAGAACAAGTGATCCGTGTCGCGGACACAAGGCGTGCTCCCGCAAACCTGAAGAAAGTTCAGAAATTCACAGCACATCAAAGAAATGCATTGTGGGTAGTAGCAGTGAAAAAAGGTTAACAGACATGACATGCCTTGCACTTGGGATTAACCAGCTCAGTTGAATTCAGCAATTTTCCACACTTCTCGCATTGGTCACCCCTGGCAGAGTCATAGTTGCATCCCTCTGTGGGGCAGTAGCCCTCCACAAGCCTGTCAGCCAAGAACCTTTGGCATGAATTGCAGTAAAGCTGCAGCAGGTAAGCACAGCCATCACCATTTGTTAGCAAAAAAACATCACAGAAGAAACAATGGAAATTAAAACTTCTATTGAAACAAGATGCCAATAAAGTAATAATCCCTGCACTGACACTATAACTTTACCTGCTGCATTGTGTTCTCTGACAGCCAATTGTTGTCCAGTAGCTTGAGGAAGATGTCTTGGCAGACCTCGGTCTGTTGCGGCGACGATGTTCTACCGAAGATGTCGAAGCTGATGTCGAACCACTCGTACACTTCCTTGTGGATGGCATGGTACCTTCATTACGCACATGGCATGAGAGAGGACTCAGTTGTTAAAGCTGTACTAGTAAGCGCTAATCCAAATTTTTTTAAAAAAGGATTAACTAGTGGGACAGGAAGATTTTTGTTTCGTTGGGGACTTGGACCAATTGAGAGTTGCGCAATTTGACAATTTGCTTCCAAAAGGATAAGACAGCTGAAGCTGACAATTCCCTTCGTTCCTAACCCGAACTGGATCCCCATTACAAAATTACACAACTCGTCTGTTCCTAATATTCGATATGAAATCGCCTCAAAATTTAGGGGAAAATTCATGCCATGCCACAATTTTGCTCAATCGATCAAATAATCGGAGCAGAGTGGTTCACTTGAAAAGAAGAAGAGCAACCAAAACCTCAACAAGAACAAGCAGGAGAGAGAGAGAGGCTGACTTGTCGCAGATCTCCCTGGGGGAGCAGCCTTCCTCCATGGCCTTGGTCTCGGTGGCGGTGCCGTACTCGTCGGTGCCGCAGACGTAGAGCACGTTGTGCCCCCGGAGGCGGCAGTAGCGCGCGAAGGCGTCGGCGGAGAGCACGCAGCCGATGATGTTCCCCAGGTGCGGCACGTTGTTCACGTACGGCAGCGCGCTCGTCACCAGCACGTTCCTCCGCCCCTCCACCGGCACCACCGCCTCCTTCGCCGCCGCCATCGCCGCCGTTCGCTCCAGCTCACCTCGCGCGGCCGCGACGAGGCGTGCGTGGGGTGGATGAGGAAGAGGAGGGGGGTGGGGTTTCGCTCTCTTTGCGTGTGGGGGGTTTGACTCTCTCTCGACGACGGCGACGACGACGACGACTCGCCGGAATTTGGTTGGTCGCCGCCGTTTGTATACTGACGCGGTGGTGGTGCGAGAGGTGACTCGTTTGGGTCCCCCTCTTTGTCGGGGGCGTTTTTTTTTTATAGGGGGAGAGGCTTCTTGGCATGCACGGAAACGGGAGTTTACCGGGCCCACGGGCATCATGGGCTGAAACTTTGCACGGCCCATTAAGAAAAAAGATGACCCCGTTGTTATTGGGCTAAAAGATGGGGGGCCTTTATTCGCACCTTCTTGTTTGAGAAATAAAGTTCACTTTAGGTCTATCTTCTTGACAACGAGTCGAGATTCCGTCATTGAACCGTGTTATATGGAGTACCTCAAACTATTTAAACAGGACCAATTTAAATCCCTATGTGATTTTGATGGTAGTTTCGTCCTAAGTGACCGCCTATAAGGCATTTCAGTTAAAAATGTAAATTTAAACATTGGCAGATCCCACATGTTGGCACATCCCTCATCTCTCTTCTCCTTCCTCTCTGTTTATCTTTATTTTCTCTGCCTTTTTTATTCCACTCTCACCTAAGTGGTGGCAAGCGAAGATGGAGGGGCCTCGCGACGTTGGCTCAACCGGGCGGCGGCAGTAGAGCTTGGAGCCGAGAAGCCAATGACAGCAGCCGGATAGTGGAGCTTGGAGCTTAGTACCCCGTATAGCTGCGTGCGGCTTGGGCGGAGGTAGTGTTGCTCAAATGACGGCGCAGACTCCTCACAGCTAGCCCACGCGGTGCTTCCATGCTACCGTTAGGCTCCGCGGTACGGCACGACGTCCTTCTTGTATCGCACTAGCTCCCCACTCCCGTGGCCTGCGCCAAACTGCTCACACTACCTAACTCCTCTCCCACCAGACGCTGACCTTCTCCGATCCCCATCAGCCGCTGCACTGGAGAGATGTGGGAGTGTGGGACTGAGATAGAGACGTTGGGGAGAGTTGGTGATGCGAGGGTAAGATGGGTTAGTAGGAGATAGAAGGAACAAGCTGGTCAGGGCCCACGTGGATCCCACGTTGACTCAACACCACATTAGTCGAAACCAGGCACGCCCTGCGATCTTGGGCGCACTCTGGTATTGCAAGTTAAGAGACGTTATATTTGATATTGCGGTTCAAGCACAGAATTCATACTTGGCGTCAAAGACGAGGGACCTAAAGCAAACTTATTCCTCTTTGACATCTTAACAAGCTCAGGCTGTTAGTTTGCGTTGGGCTTACCTTACGCCGGCCTAGCCAAAATATTTGTCACTATTAAGTCACCCGATACGATGGTTTGGGCTTCAGAGATCATACTCCATCTGTTCCAAATACTATCACTATCGATCGATGTTGTTTCAACTTTGACTACTAATATAAAGCATTTTAAATGGTTAGACTACAATGAATAAAAGCATAATGCTTATGTTTAGGATGCAACACACTTTGATAAAAGTTTAATGCTGTTTAGGGTGAAAACACACTTTGATAATACAATTTCTTTTAACTTTTTATATATATTCTACCTTCTTCCACAAATATTTGACGGTTTGAACTAACTAACGTTAAACATAAAATGACAGAGGAAGTATATTTTATAAAAATTCATTTGGTCAAGTTTTAAATATAAATAGCGTCTGGTGATAGAAGAATTTAGGAATAAAGGAAGTAAGCAATAAGAATCTACGCCCATCCAAATGGCTTTATATGTACTCCCTCTGTTTCATATTATAAGGGCCTGTTTAGTTCGCAAACGAAAATTTTAACCGTATCACATCGGATATACGGACACACATTTAAAGTATTAAACATAGATTAATAACAAAACAAATTACAGATTACACCTGGAAACTGCAACGTGAATTTGTTAAGCCTAATTGATCCATCATTAACAAATGTTTACTGTAGCACCACATTGTCAAATCATGACGCAATTAGGCTTAAAAGATTCGACTCGCAATTTACATGGAATCTGTGTAATTAGTTTTTTTGTCTATATTAATACTCCATGAATATGTCCAAATATTTAATGTGATAGGGTGAAAAATTTTTGTTTGGGAACTAAACAGGGCCTAAGTCGTTTATGTAAAATCAAAGGTGTTTTTTTATTATTATTCTGTGATGAACAATTGGGCATTGGAGATTACTGGTTTTGTTATTTGGAATTTATTTACGAAGTGGTTTTGGAGATGATTGGATTTACAGGTGATTGCAGGATTCATTATTTCATGTGACCGGTCAGACCGGGCTCTGGTAGCCGGTCAGACCGGCGGTGATCGAGCAGTCGGACCGGCCAGAACGCGGTCTGACCGGCCGACACTGTGTCGGTTTCGGTTTCGGGTTGTTTGTTTGGATATCTGTGATTATTTCATGATTATGACTTCTAGATGAATACTATACGTATGTAATACTATTGTTTGCTACTAATGAGTCAAGTTGGAGATAGCTTGGTCTCGGAATATGGTTTCTTTGTTTATTTCATGTGTAGGTGACTCGATGCCTCGGGAGAGTATTTGCGGTGATGGATCGGGAGTCGGCTTGGGGATAAGACGATGTCCGTGGTGGTCAGAGATCATGCGGGATACTTAGGCTAGAGTTGATGCACGTGGTTGATGGAGATTCCATATGGCATACGATGGAGTTATTGTGTGCGTATGGGATGCGGAGTCGAATTTGGAAGGAGTTCAAATTTGGTACGATTGGTTATGTAAAGTTTCTTTCTTGTACTAGAGGGTTTCCTAAGGTGTTTAGGACTCCTAGTATGAGTTTGGTTCGTGGCTTTAGGCTGTCTACCTCGGGTATAAATAGAGGGGGAGCGTGAGGTTTTCCGGTATCCCTTTTGAGAGCAATTGAGTTGAGTTTTGAGTTAGGGTTTCGAGTTTAGTTGAAATTTTTGTAAGGAGTGCTGTTGGTGCACTTTGTAAACACAGAGAGAATCAATAAAGTCGTCATCCACTTTAAGAGTTCTTCGATTTGTATTTCACCGAGTTTAGGCGGTCTAACCGGCAACACACCGGCGGTCAGACCGGTGGCATTGCGGCGGTCAGACCGGCGGGTGACCTGCGGTCAGACCGGCGGCGACAATAGGCGCGGCAGGGATTCCAGGGCAGTCCAACCAGAAGATCAACACCGGTCAGACCGGCGGCTACGCTTCGGTCAGACCGGCAGATTAATCTCGGTCAGACCGACTTCCGTCGATTTCGAGGGTAACTTCTATTTCCGCTAAAAGTTTTCGGTTTTTGGGTATATCAATCATTCACCCCCTCTGGTTGGCTTAGTTCTTGTGATTCGATCCTACAAGTGGTATCAGAGCCTTGTTTTCTTCTTTGGATTTTTATTGATTTAGAGTTTTTGCCATGGCTACTCCCGCTAGGTTTTCAACTAAGCCTCATGTTTTCGATGGAACGGATTTTCCTCATCGGTGTAGTAGGATGCAATCTTATATTATGGCTGAAGATTATGATATTTGGAGAAAAGTCTCTCATCCTTATGTGATTCCTGAAGTTATTAATACTGCTGCTTTAAAAATAGAGTTTGAACAAAATTGCAAAGCTCGCAATATTCTTTTGAGTGGGATTTCTCATTCGGATTATGATCGTGTTGCTCATCTTCAAACTACCCATGAGATTTGGATTGCTTTGAGTAATTTTCATCAGGGAACAAATAACATTAAAGAACTTCGTCGTGATCTCTTCAAAAAGGAGTATATTAAATTTGAGATGAAACCTGGAGAAGCTTTGGATGACTATCTTTCTCGGTTTAATAAAATTTTGAGTGATCTTAGATCTGTCTTATGATGCTAATTATCCACAATCTGAGATTTCTCGTCACTTTTTGAATGGTCTTGATATGTCTATTTGGGAAATGAAAGTTACATTTATTCAGGAGTATGTTAACATGTCTACTTTGACTTTGGATTCACTTTATACAAAATTGAAAACACATGAGATGAATGTTCTTTCTCGAAAAGTTGATTCTAAGTCGAGTGCTTTGGTTTCTTCTTCTTCTTCTTTAGATGTTGATGCTTCTTCATCTAAGCCTTCGTTTCTTGCTGTTTTTAATGCCACATCCGATGATCAACTCGAACAAATCGAGGAGGAGGATTTGGCTTTGGTTGCTAACAGAATTGCTCGAGCTATGAATAATGCCAGGAACAGGAAAAGAGGTGGTCCAAATCGTTGCTTTGAATGTGGTTCAATCGATCATCTTCGTTCGCATTGTCCTAAGCTTGGGAGAGGCAAAAGAGAAGACAAAGATGGTGAGAAGAACAACAACAACAAGCCGAAGGGTTCATACCAAGGGAGGAAGATGGAGAATCTCAGGAAGGCTTTTCAACAAGTTTGCGCCGCCTTCGAGCCACTAAGTGATGTAGATGGTGAGAGTGGAGATGATGATAAGGGAAAGAACATCTCCGATGTTTGCTTCATGGCGCGTGGTGAATCTGACACAGAGTATGAAGATAATGAGGTAAGTGCTTTTGAGGAAGCTATTAATATTTTGAGTGAAAAGAATAAGAAGTGTGAGAAGATGTATAGAAAAGAGGAATTTATCGATGAATCTCTTAAATCTGAAATTGCTAGATTAAAATCTCTTATTCCTAATGATGATAATTGCAAAAATTGTGAGGTTTTAATGAATGAGATTTCAAAAATTAGAGATATTAATGCTGCATATGATTTGAAAAATAGATCTTCTCTTGCTTGTAGTTTTGCTTTGCACACACGCACTTTGGATGAGTTGTTTTTAACTAAAAAGTTGTTGCAAAAATATCAAATTGCTTTTCATGCTAGTTTGATGTTTAATATGATTTCTGCTAAAAAGTTAAAACAACCTCATGATGTTTTGGATTGCTCAACATGTAATTTGAATAAGTTGAAATTGAAAGATGCTTTAGGTTGTGTTGAGTACATGGAAGATGTTGTAAAAAAACAATGAAGTGCTTTCTTGCACTAAATGTCGTAAAAGCAAAAGTGTGATGGTAGATTGTGAAAATTGTGCTAATTTGAAAAAAGAGGTTTCTTATTTGAAAAATTCTTTGCTAAGATTTTCTGATGGTAAAAAGAACCTCAACATGATTTTGGATCAATCAAAGGTTAGCAC